GTTGAAAGTGTTACTATTCTGAATATGTTAATTCTGAAAGAGACGTGTCTTAACTGCTTGCCATCATACGCAGAAAATTTCTTACTCATGCATAAAAACACACACACACACACATATATATATATATACATATATATATATACATATATATATATACACACATATATATAATCGACTCTCCCGTCGCGTTCGACGTATGAGGGTCAGGCCGATAAGTCTCAAGGAAACCGACATCCCGACACCGGCACTTGAGATTTGATTATAGTGGTGAAGGCCTCGTGCAGGACCAGCCACACTTTTTGGAGGGACGAATACAGAAACCTGGTGCACCGAATGCCACAAGGTTCCCAAACGACCCTCCGCAGGTTTTGAATTCAGAGTTGTCCTTCTCCTAGACCAGTTGCCATCCAAGGCTATAGAACCCAGTCTGTCCTGCTATTTTACCCATAGCTGGACATATATATATATATATATATATATATATATATATATATATATATATATATATATATATATATATATATATATATATATATATATATATATATATATATATATATATATATATATATATATATATATATATATATATATATATATATATATATATATATATATGTATATATATGTATATATATATATGTATATATATATATATACATACATACATATATATATATATATATATATATATATATATATATATATGTTATATTAAGGTAAGTATTCATATTTGTTTTTTTTTTCAAGTACTTCAATGTAAGTATTTAAGGTTCTTTTTGATTATTAGTTTTGCAGATGCAATCCTGCAGTAGTGGAATGGGTGCTGAGAATTCATACACAACATTTTTTTTTTCTAAATAGAGGATATTTATAAGACACGGTGTTGATAATAATAGTTAAGTTTGATGTTTTCAACTCATTGTATTAGATGATAAATGATGATGTGTTTGTGAGGATCATTAAATATAGCATTCAGTCCACTAGCGAATACCTCGATATACTACAGTCTAAAAAAATGTAATCCTAGTCCCGTTGGCGTACATTGGGCACGTATGCAACACGCTTTCCCACAGCTCTGACCTGTCACCTGTTGAAACTTAATACGGTCCGCGCAAGCATCGACCAGCACACCATGAACAAATGCAACGATCAACATAAGACAAATAGTAGTGAATAATACCAAGGTACTCTACAACGCCCAATGCAATGAGAATGTTAAATTCCTAACTTGCACACATACACCATATCGGTTCTTGATAATAACGACAAAAGTAGAAAGTATTTGAACAAAAATAACAAAATATGGAGTTGGGACACAACTTCGAAAATTAGAAATATATAATAAAAAATTAATCAGACAGAACTTGTCTGTTCTTTTTAATCACACTTGCTTATATATATATATATATATATATATATATATATATATATATATATATGCTCTTCATTGTCGTTAATATTCTTTTCGTTGATCCAACGATTGTCTCCTGATGAGATGTTGGTTGAAAGGGCCCTAGAGACTTTTAAAATTAAAATCAATACATTCCTTGTTTTTAAAACTATATATAAATTCTGTACCTCTAAACATTTGTTTATATATATATATATATATATATATATATATATATTATAAATTAATTGATTTAAAATATGGTTTTTTTTCGCTACACAGTTCCAACCATGTTTCAAAAATAAAGCTAAAACCCGAATTTAATTTTGCAATTAAATTAAAAGCATTAGTTCCATTTCATCTTCAAGCGAATTTTTTTTTTCAAGATGAAATGGAACTAATGCTTTTAATTTAATTGCAAAATTAAATTCGGGGTTTTTAGCTTCTATTTTTGAAACATGGTTGGAACTGTATAGCGAAAAAAACATTTTAAATCAATTAATTTATAATATTAATGCTCTGTAAATTTACATTGAGCACTATTTTGTAAAAATAAAAATATCTATAAGAACACCGGATTTTATATCTTACTGTTCTTTCATTTTATTTTATTATATATATATATATATATATATATATATATATATATATATATATATATATATATATACTGTATAATATTAATATATATGTATGTGAGAGACGTTAAGAAATAAAAAGTTACAGGTAAATACTCATTTGTGAAATCTCATTTAGCCATAAATTTCTCTAAAAATACTGACAGTTATGTAGCATTAGAATATTTTATTCGTTTTCAGACTTTGATGAATTTCGATAAAAAACACATTAGACGTAAATTTAATATTTTTCAGAATGGAAGAGGAAATTACAAATATACGTGAAAGCCCGACCCAGAATGTGGAATCAGAAAGAGATCCTGATAGAGTAAACGTAGAAAGAGATCCGGATAGAGTAAACGCCTTCAAGATTCCTGATGGCGGTTGGGGTTGGGTCGTTTGCTTTGCCGGATTCATGACTAATTTTACTGTTGGAGCATTAGTTTCTTCTAGTGGTATTTTCCTCCTTGGACTGACTGATATTTACGATGACGCTATATCAAAAGTAGCCATGGTCGACACTATTTTCGACGCAATCTTGATGTCTTCTGGTAAGTTTGCAAAATTTATGCAACTCCATACGAATCGCAAAATTTAAACCGTTTTTTTGTTGCTGAATTGATTAATATTTTTTAATTTGCAGGTCCGATTGTGCTGTTTCTACTGATGTTTAATGCAAGCCATCGCCAAATTATCATCTGCGGTGGTTTTGTCTCTGCTGTGTCAACACTTACATGCTTTTTTGTTAAGAAGATCGAAATTCTTTATGTTACGTATGGAATTATCTCAGGTAAGAATTATTATATCTTTTATGTAAATCCATTTTGCTATCTCTTGTATCGTTATTATTTTTCACATGTTGAGATTTCAGTAGTAATTCATATTTATTGTTAGTAGATTAAGTAGATTAAATCTTCTCAAATATCCAGATTTCTTCTCACTTTTATTGAAGATTTTAATAATACTCATTTCTAGATAAATACATTTTTTCATTGGATTTATATTCTAAATTTCAAAGTTCGAAAGATTTTTTTAATTTCCTTTTTAATATTTCTAATTTTTGTTTCTGCTTTCCAATAACTATTTTTTGTATGAACAATTGAAATTATTTGCACATTTCCCAATGAAATCACGTTTCTGCTCAGTCGTATAACTTAAGTCACGTAGTAATATTAGATGATCTATACTTACTATAATCTGCATACAAATTCGTTCTTTTTATATCTGTCGTAAGTGTAAAGAAACACATCAGATCAAATATCAAGTAACACAATATGTTCTCAATACTCCAACCCTCATTATTTGGAGATCTCTTCAGTATGTATTCTGGACGGTTACGGCTCTCCTTCGTATTCTTCCATTCCAATTATTGAGAAAGATATTTGTTCATGATGATAAATACAATTTACACTTTCAGGCATTTCTTCAGCCGAAAACTGATTCTTAAAACACCATTGCATTTGAATGTGTCGTTTATTTGCACGTCACAATTTGATCATCTGGTACATTTGAGTACAATGTTTGTGTTAATTCTTAAGACTTAATCAGCATACATCATTTGTTTTTTGAATAGCCAGAATTGATTCGTTTGTGTAGTTCCCATTGTATCATCTGTCACATTCGTTTTTAAATGTTTTTAATTTCAACATATGAATCTGCAGACGTAATCATTTTTTTGAACAGCAACCAAACAGCAAATTTGTTTTTTAAACATCCTGTTTCATTCGTTTGCATCTGTCACATTAAGGTTAATTTTTTCACATCTGAGACTGATTTTATTGTCAAAAGACTCATGCTAAATTGCTGGCGCAATTCAAAAAGGCTATCAAGAAAAACACGTAGAAAAACTGACGAAATTTGTGTTGTCTCATCAAGACAACGCTCTATCACAGAAGTGATGATATTTTTCTTGAAGTTAATAAAACAAAAATGACATTTAACACTGGGGAACCAACCATTTGCACGAATAAAAAACAGAAGGTTGAATTGTATTTGAGGTGTCATACAAACCGTACATCGACACGGGTGACTCTTAACATTTACAAAAAAAAAAAAAAAAGAAAAAAAAACTTCAAAGAAATCTCTGGAATTAGATTCAATAATTTTGATTCAATAATGTTGATTCAATAATGTTGATTCAATAAATCGACGATATATAACTTTCTATATCAAGCAAACCCTGTTCACTCACTAGCTTTCCACATTAGTGTTCTCCTTCATTCTTTCAGGTTGTTTCGTCGGAATCTCTTATTTTTCCTGTAATACCATCGTTGGATGTTATTTTAAAAAGAAACGAGCTTTGGCCGTAGGAATCGCACAATCTGGAACTGGGAGTGGTACATTTGTTTTAAGTTATTTATTAGAACAAAGCATTTCCTTTTATGGTATGAGGGGAACATTTTTATTAATCAGTGGATTGTTTTTAAACTTTCTTGTCTATGGCGCCTTATGTCGGCCGCTTAAGGCCGTCAGCATGAAGAAGAAGACCAAGGAGAAAACGAAAGGTAAGTAAATTTTGAAGAATATAATTTATAATAAACTCAGTAGGTTATCAGTGTAATATTACACAAGTAATTGTACTGTATAAATGTGGCTATCTTTTAACTTTTGGTTTAAAAGATCATCATTCAGTGTCCTTTAGTTAACTGAATTAAATCTTTCTCAACCTTTGCTTCTGTCAAGTGAACTGAATTTGATAATCTATACAGAATTCATATATTGACTTATTGATTCGCTTTCTACAATTTATCAACTGTTTGCAGATTATTTATAGCTAGAAAATATTTTTAGATTACAAGAATGTATTTTTTTAGATGATAATATTTTAGTGATACAAGTTTTAGTAATTAACTCAGAGATGGTAGGGAAGAATATATGAATTTATACATTCCATAACTGTATTTGCACGTGTATATAACGAGCCCAACAGAAATTGAAACTCTGCTCTCCCATATCCAATTCTTAGCTGTTACACCACCCGCACATCCAGGATTACAACCCCTGGTATTCCCAAACGGTCATCCATCTAGTGCTGACCGGACTCAAGGTTGCTTAACTTCTATGAGCATGCGGGAAGCGGTGTTTCAACGTGATGTGGCCGTAAGTTTCCCATGGTAACTCATCACCCACATGCCCAAGAACCGATTTTCAATTATAAATTTCTTGACATTAATTAACAACAATATCATGATATCTCACCGGTGCTTGAGGGAGAAAGTCCTCAGAGAGATCATCCTTACTTTTATTCCACTAGCCCTGAGGGTTGCTGAAATCTAATACACTTTGCTGTATGGGACAATGAGAGTATTGAATCTCACTGACTGTCATCCACAAGAAGTCCTTTTATCGCATGCTTCTCTGTAAGTCGTGTAAATAATTCCATCATCTCCGAAGATCTTATGAAGATATTCCGATGACCATTCTCAATTCTGAAGACCATTTGTATTGTTCACATATTAGAATCATTTTAGAAAATTGAATTTGAATTATTGCGTTTACACTATAGCTTTATTAAATTAGAATAATTTTAGAAGATAATTAGAAAATTGTATTTGAATTGTTATATTTTTGTTAGTATATATTAGGATAAGAATAATTTTGTAGATAATTAGAATATTGTACTTGAACTGTTATGATTCTGTGTTACGAAAGAAGTTTATAAAATTCTTACATTTTTATGCAATAGGTTATTTCCTCCCGGACAACACCAGGTACTTCTGCTAGATCTACATATTTTTACAGTTAATCTTTTCTTATTTCAGGTATAACGTTGATATCAGTGAAAGCGCTTCACGCAGAAACAAATTTAGGATTCGAGCCAGACGAAGAGATTTTTGATAATCAAGACGGGTCACGTGTAAAGGCAATATTTTTAATTTTATACATTCCTTCCATTGAAGTTTTATACAAATATTGATTGAAAAACATTCACGTTCTTCAACAGATTATATTAATTAAATAGATAATGAATAAACTATATTACTTATGCAATTAATTGTGTCATTGCATAAAAAGTTGTCTTGCAATATCATTTAGCATGTCATTTCAGCTGCTGGTTCGATCCTTACGAGGTAACCTTCACTTAGGACTTGTGTCTAATTCTGCTCAACTTCGATAAATCAATACAGAAATTATGAGTCATTGATTAACACGTTAATCTGGCTGCATTATTGCTGGGATAAATGCAGTTTTCAGAAGGTCGTTCGTATCTTTGGTTTTGGTTGTACTAAACAAACTTAATACCTATCGATTCATCAATTCAGTTGTATAAATACCTACAACTATGGTTGTTGGGTTATTATAGATTAAAAAAAAATTATCATTGGATTCAACCATATTAAACGAAACAAATACGTATGGCCGATGTTGTGGAGGGACTTTAAATTCAAACAAACACTTATTGGACCCCGTCATATAAAGCAAAATAAAATAAAGTAAAATGAAGTATTCTTGGTTTAGGCCGCATTAAAGAGAGTAAATACCAACATCCCTTATTGGGATCAGATGAAGTAGCTTGGACCCTTAACATTGAAAAAAGTTAAATTAACAGAAAATATATACTTGTGTTTAGGCGTAGTAATCAAAGTACCTATGACATTTATCATGCACAAACGTTAATTAATGTGAAATGTATCACGGTTTGGCCGTATTGAACAAACGACCTATGACCCTTATCATGGAAAACTGCTAAATCAAATTGAAATATATCTGGTTTGGGATGTATTAATTAAAGTAAATACCTAGGACATGGGGTAGGTAAATCAAAAAAATTTGTGGTTTCGATTATATTCAACAGAGTAAATATCTAACGCCGTATTTATGGAGGAGTGTTCAGTTATAATGCAATAGTTCTGGCGTAGTCCTTATTAAACAAAGACCTAGGGGTCTTATCATGGAGAAGGTTAAAACTAAAATGATATTAGGACCTTGATTAAGTTCTCGCTGTTTCTCAACAGATGGCGTTCCCAGAATTACGGGCGTGTAGTTTCAGATGGTAACGCATCTATAAGCAAGCGTAATATTCAGTGTATATCATTTCGCCGGAGTATAAGCAGCTTTGCTTTTTATAGCGTTAAACATAGCGGATATCGTGCCGAAGAAAGTGCATTTGAGAGGAATTTTACTGCACTACTTTATTCAAAAGAAATCTGCAGCTGAAACACACAGAATTCTTGTTGAGACTTACGACGGCAATGCTCTGTCGCAAACAACATGCAGAGATTATTTTATACTCTTAAAAAATAATGATTTTGATGTTATAGATAATGAACGCTCTGGCGCCCCGAAAACGTTTGAAGACGAAGAACTGGAGGAATTACTTCATGAAGGCTCATTTCAGGTGCAAGCTGAACTTGAAGAATCATTAAGAGTTGATCACACTGCAGTTTCGAAACGTTTGAAAGCATTACAAATGATTCAAAAGAAAGGACATTGGGTGTCGGTTGAGAGACGTCGAACGGCGTGTTGTCACATGGGAACAGCTAATTCAACAGCAAAAAACGAAAGGTTTTTTTGCATCGTATCGTGGCCGGCAATGAAAAGTGGAAGCACTATGATAACCCTAGACCTAGAAGATCATATGGCAAGCCCGTCTGAATATCCATTGTTCAATGTTTCTGCTCTGTATATGTTGAGATCACCGGGGTGTTGTTTATTATGAGCTGTTCAAACCAACCGAAATCGTCATTGTTGCGTTTGAGCCGAGCACCGAAGAAAAAACAGCAGTTACACAAGCTGATTTTACAATGGGACAACTACAAAACGCGTGAAAACTACTTGGAAACGCTTAAATGGGAATTCCTAGCAACCCGCCGTATTCATAAGACATTGCCACGTCTGATTATCACTTGGTCCGATCGATGGCACATGTCCCGAGCTCACAATTTGCTATGGTCCCGTAGGGGATTCTTAAGATCAGCTTCACTTTTACAAACTCACTTACACACGTGTTACTTTGTCACAATACTCATACAAGTAACATGCACGTCTTTTTGGTAGAGTTTCATTGAGATGAATTTCCATTTTACCTCTCTGTAGTGATTTCTCAAGCCTTCGAAAGGGTGACTTTTCCACAAGCTGCACATTCATTCTTATGAAGATGCCAAAAAGTGGGTTAATACAGGGTTGTCGTTTTTCCGACGTGGAATTCAAAAACTTCCAGAAAGTTGAGGAAATATAGTGACATCAAGAACTTATTAAAAGTCCAAACATATTTGTGGATTTGGCTATATTCATAAGATTAAATATCTAACGCCATATTGGTGGAGGAGTGTTCAGTTGTAATGAAATAGTTCTGGTGTAATTCTTAATGAACAAAGTAAATACCTAGCAGACTTATCATGGAGAAGGGTGAAATTAAAATGATATATTTGTGAATTCGGCTTTATTCAACAGAGTAAATATCAATACTTAGCGTCCTATTTGTGAGGAATAGTTGTTGTGGCGAGGAAATATGAGATTAAAATATTAGTTTGTCTTTTAAACAGAAGAATCTCCTATTACCTAAGAAGACTGAAATTAAAATGACTTTATTTATATCATTTAAATTAAGGCAGAATAATTTTTTCAGTACTGAACCTTGATAAAATATAAAAGATTTAAAATTATCGGTGATTATTTAAGGAAAACGTCGATTTTTTTACATTTTACAACAGCAAATGTTTATAATGCCATACACGCATGCTGTATAAGAGTATACGCACATGCAAACACACACACACACACACACACACACACACATATATATATATATATATATATATGGAGAGAGAAATAGATAGATAGAGAAAGTGATAGAAAGAGAAAGAGACCATTCGTCCGTGCATTGAATGTTACTGTTTGATCTGGTGCAACTTGACAAAATCCCCCAAATGGGTCAGTGATATTATCGGCCCTTACATGTTACTTAATCTTCAGTCGTTATCGCTTAGTTCGTTGACGAATGCTGGCTTAAACAATTTAAACGCTTTGTCATGTGTATTACCATTGTGGTTATAGGAATTGTTAACTCGGAAGACCATTTTCGTAGTGATCTTAGCACAGATACCTCCAACACTGCACACGTGTTTTTTCGCGTTGAGGGTTGTCCTGTCCTCCATTTGCCCTGAATTGATCCTGTGAGAAACAGTTTATGTTCCCATCGTTGTTGTCATAAAGTCATGTCGCATATACTCCATGCTCTTGCCAGAATGCACACGATCATGTCTCCATACACTTCCAAGAAACCTCTCTTCAAAAATGTAGGAGTTCGAGACAGTCAGCTGAAATAGAAAATTATATTATATAGGAGTGACAAGACTTTCGGACCACCCTGCATATTTGTCTCTCTAATTATTTTCCAATGTACATTGTCCAACCATTAATCTTCTGCTAATGAATTCATATTCGCAAGTTTATTTCTTGAAAAGTAAACGATTAGAACTCGGCCGGAATTGAACTCTGCGCGCCGATTTCACAGTCTTATAACTCTCAATTTATGAACTCATTCACAATGTGAATATTTTTTGTAATATAAGTTTTAACGAAGTGAAATTATATAACATATACTCATAATTACTTCTCGTATTGATCTGTATAATTTGCCATAAAATGAACTCGTTTTTCAGAGAAGCAATTCTGACGGTACTATACACCAGGAAAATTTGGAAACAGTTCTTCCAGCAAACACACCTCGCACATTTTCAAGCAAATGCAATTCCATCCGCAATATTATATTTGATCCAGTTGTTCTGAAAAATCCCGGCATGCAGTTGCTGTTATTTACTTATTTGCTTGAGGGAGGTAAGTTACAGAAGTGTATTAAGAAATAATAAATTGAGATAAAATATTCATTTATATTAATATGAAATGTTATTTTTCTGCATTGAGAATCAGAGATAAACCTGATTATCAAGGTAAGAAAATAATATGGAATAATTCTACATAACAACTTGAAAGCATTTTACTTAGAATAGCGACAGTTATCGGTTAGAATGTGTTTAGCATATATTGTACTCTTGCCCCTATATGACAACGATATTATGATATGACTAGTGTAGAGGAAAATTTCAAGGCGATAATTTAGAGAATATCCAAATTCCCTTAAAGGAGATATCTATATCCCAA